TTCCATAACTTTCATCAGATTCCCAGGGAAAGTTGACCTAAAATTGGTTAAGATTAACTGCCATAAGGTGTTCCTTATCTGGACAGAGGTAGAACGTGCAATATATTTATTTTACTCTACTAAAACAGATACAGGGAAAACATTTAATGGCCCTCAGGTAGGGAATTAGATAACTCATAATCCTTAACTTCATGATTTTTTTAGTTTACTGTCATTTTTGCTCTGTGCCTGGCCCCATTTTTGGTTTATTTTTAACTAGAGGCCCGGTGCACAAATTCGTGCATGGGTGGAGTCCCTTGAGCCGGCCAGTGGGAGGGACCATGGGAGGTTGGCTGGCTCGGGGGAGGGACTGCGGGAGGTTGGCTGGCCGCAGGAGCTGGCCGCAGGAGATTGACTGTGGTAGTGCACTGACCACCAGGGGGCATCTCCTGTGTTGAGCGTCTGCCCCCTGGTAATCAGTGCACATCATAGCAACCGGTCAACCAAGTGTTCGGTCTCTTAGGCTTTTATATATATAGATAATATATCAAACCTCCAGAAATTAATCTTCCATTACTAGAACATTAATAACAGCAGTCTGTTCATGTGCTTCTTTCCTTTTGTGTCCCCTTGACTTTCCCCAACTACTGTCTTGAATTTTGGCTTGTTTACTCCCATGCTTTAAAAAAAAGTTACCACATATGTATGTATGTCTTAATGTACATAATACACTGGTGTACTGGTAAACTGGCTCTTTGAAAAAATAATCCCTGATTTCTAGCACTTTTAAAATTTTCATTTACAAATTCCCCAACATGGCTGATTTTAAGCTACCAACATGACATCATTGCATGTGGAGTTGGGAAGAAATGCATACCATCATCACCTGTGAGCCAATACGAGCCAGCCCCAGCACACCCCTGACAGTATGTCATTTTGTTTTAGTTGTTACTGAACTATTTCATATTGTGGATTTGATTTTCATTTCCTTAAAATAAAGAGATTGAACAGCTCCTTAAGTGTTTATTGGCCGCATGTTTTCTCTTCTGTGAAATACCTCTTCAAGGTGTTTTCCTATTTTATTACTGTATGTTTTCTTAATGATTTGTAGACATTCTTGTTTTCTTTAATTTTTTACTAATTTTTAGAGAAGAAGGGAGAGGGATAGAGAGAGAGAAACATCAGTTGGCTGCTTCCTGCACACCCTATACTGGGGATCAGGTCTGCAACCCAGGCATGTGCCCTGATCTGGAATCGAACCTGTGACATTTTGGTTCCTAGGCCAAAGCTCTACCGCTGAGCACACCATCTCAGCTCTTTTTTACTTTCTTAAAGGTGTCTTTTAATGAACAGAAGTCTTTTAAAGTTTAGTGCTTTTTGTGTCTTGTTTAAATAAATGTTGTATAATTATTTTACATAGTGAGATTTCCTAGCTTAGAGCCAAATAAATTGTTTTTCTGTCAAGTTCATGAACATCTAAAGAACCATACCAGCCCTAACCGGTTTGGCTCAGTGGATAGAGCATCAGCCTGTGGACTCAAGGGCCCCAGGTTCAATTCCGGCCAAGGGCATGTACCTTGGTTGCGGGCACATCCCCAGTAGGAGGTATGCAGGAGGCAGCTGATCAATGTTTCTCTCTCATTGATGTTTCTAACTCTCTATCCCCTCTCCCTTCCTCTCTGTAAAAAATCAATAAAGTATATTTTTTAAAAAACAATAAAATATATTTTTAAAAAATAAAAATAAAAATCATCATTCTCCCCTTTTAAAAAAAAAGAACCATACCAATAAAATCTAACTTAATTTACTTGAACAAAATACTAAACTTATACCTTAAATTATGCTTTAGTACTACATTATGGTAATTAAAGAGGAATCAGACAAATTATAGATGAGAAAATTTAAACAGAGAAAGATAGAAAACTGAAAGAGGTAAGTTGGGCAGAGAAACTAAAAAGACAAAGGGACTCAATAGAAACAGTAGATGTTGGGTAAATGTTGACATAACTTATCCTCTTTTGAGCCCTGATGGATTAACCACAGTAGTTCATCAAGAGAGAAATTTACCTGTAGCTGAAGTAGCAGAAACCAGAAGAAACTGTGGTCCACTTCTGATTTTCGCACTCTAGGGTCTTCAACTTAGACTTCATAGTGTAAAAGTATACAGTTTATTTATTTTATTTTTTTAAAAATATATTTTATTGATTTTTTACAGAGAGAAAGGGAGAGAGAGAGTTAGAAACATCAATGAGAGAGAAACATAGACCAGCTGCCTCCTGCACATCTCCTACTGGGGATGTGCCCGCAACCCAGGTACATGCCCTTGACCGGAATCGAACCTGGGACCTTTCAGTCCGCAGGCCGACGCTCTAACCACTGAGCCAAACTGGTTTCGGCAAAAGTATACAGTTTAAGATAACGTTCAGCCCTAACTGGTTTGGCTCAGTGGATAGAACATTTGCCTGCAGACTGAAGGGTCCCAGGTTTAATACCATCAAGGGCACATGCCTGGGTTTCGGCTCAATCCCCAATAGGGGGCATGCAGGAGGCAGCCAATCAAATGATTCTCATCATTGATGTTTCTATCTCTGTCTCCATCTCTAAAATCAATAAAAATACATATTTTTTAAAAAGGTAACTTTCAGGGGGACATTTATTGCACAAAGCAAAATATTTGTCTAATAATCTTGCTTTTCAGAGAGGATTTTGAGATTATTAATTACAGTTTTAAAATTATAAAAGATTAATAAAGAGGAAGTAAAACAGAAAAAACACCCATTATATTTTGGTATATTTTTCTTAGGTTTTCTTAATTATTTCACTTTTTAGATATATGTGGGTCAAGACTACAAGAAACAATAGAAATACAGAAAAAATTTTTACAAAATTATATTTAGAGATTGATACTGAATTTGGCAGATGCAATTAATATAGCTACATGTTGTGTTTTTTTTTAAATATATTTTATTGATTTTTTTACAGAGAGGAAGGGAGAGAGAGATAGAGAGTTAGAAATAGCGATCAGCTGCCTCCTGCACATCTCCTACTGGGGATGTGCCCGCAACCCAGGTACATGCCCTTGACTGGATTCGAACCTGGGACCTTTCAGTCCGCAGGCCGACGCTCTATCCACTGAGCCAAACCGGTTTCGGCTACATGTTGTTTTTGTTTGTTTTGTATAGCTACATGTTCAAACGTTAGAATCTTTAAAACATTTTTTTAACTCCATGAATTTTTACAAAAGTAAATGATGCAATCTCTTCTGTGCCCTTGAAGAAAAGTCTTCATGGCATAATTTCCAGATTTCTATGAGAATCTAGAATTAGATTTTTATAACTTGTTTATGCAATGGAGCATCCATAAAAACATAATGGCATTTTTAGTATACCCCATTAAATTGGCACGCCGACGCTCTATCCACAACTAGAGCTAATACTAAAAGTATTAGAGCTAATACTTTTATTTTTTTAAAAAGAGCCTGGCCTGTGTTGCTCTTTTAGTGTCAATCCATGAACCAGAAGGTCACAGTTTGATTTCTAGTCAGGGCACATGCCTGGGTTTTCAGACTCTATCCCCAGTAGGGGGTATGCAGGGGGCAGCTGATCGATGATTCTTTCTCATCATTGATGTTTCTATCTCTCCCTCTCCCTTCCTCTCTCTGAAATCGATAAACATATACTTTTAAAAGTAATAAAAAGTAAATTAAAAATATATATACAACATGTAAATTCACAGTTACATTGCCTGTTGCATAAGTAAGCAAAGTTTATTAATTTTTTAAATGATCTTATTGCTCTCTGTTGTTTGCTTTGTTTGACTCTAGACAGGTACCAAAGAAATACAGAAATGGGACAAAAATTTGAGAATTGTAGAAATTCTTTTCATTAACTTGACTGTTATTTTGCAATTTTCAGGGGGGAAAAATATATTAGTGGGCAACACCTCCTTCACCGCAAACCTGTATTCCATGTGAAGCATATATAGTTCGAGTCATAATAATCTACAATAGCAACTCTTAACTTTTTCTCCCTATCCTTATTAGCAATGGGATTGAGTATACTCCCATGGATAGGCCTTGTTTAATAGATAACAGACTAGGGCTTTTGCCATAGTTTGATAGTAGTAACTCTGTTTGATAGCAGTAACTCTAGACCTTTCTTTCCCACTATGAAAGTACATTGGAATGCAACTGAGAATAACTATTTTTAGAAATAACCTTAAATTCTCCCCAAAAGAAAAAAATTAAAATACTTTTTTCACTTTAAATAATTTTTGTACTTTTCAATTACAGTTGACATACTATATTATATTAGTTTCATGTGCACAACACAATGATTAGACATTATATAACTTAACTAAGTGATCACCCTAATAAATCTTATACCATCTAAAACCATACATAGTTACTATAATATTAACTATATTCCCTATGCTGTACTTTATATCCCTGTGACTATTCTGTAACTACCAGTTTGTGCTTCTTAATCCTGTCACCTTTTTCACCTATCCCCCAACCTTCCTCCCATCTGGCAACTGTCAGAATGTTCTCTGTATCTATGAGTCTGTTTCTGTTTTGCTTGTTCATTTATTTTGTTTTTTAGATGTATTTTGTCTGGTGTAAGTATTGCTACCCTGGCTTTTTTTGGTTTGTTTCCATTTTCATGAAATATCTTTTTTCATCCCTTTACCTTCAGTCTGAGTGTATCTTTCAATCTGAAGTGAGTCTCTTGTAGATAGCATATATAAGGGTCTTGTTATTCATTCAGCCTCTATCTCTTCGGATTGGAGCATTTGATCCATTTGCATTTAAAGTAATTAATGATAGATATATATTTATTGCTATTACTCATATTTTTTATCTTTTTTCTTCTTCTTAAAGAAGACCCTTTAACATTTTTTGTAATACTGGTTTGGTGGTGGTGAACTCCTCTAGCTTGTTCTCGTCTGGGAAGCTCTTTACCTGTACTATAATTCTAAATGATAGCTTTGCTGGGTAGAGTGATCTTTGTTGTAAGTCCTTGCTTTTTATCACTTTGAATATTTCTTGCCAATACTTTCTGGCCTGCAAAGTTTCTGTTGAGAAATCAGCTGATAGTCTTATGGGAGCTCCCTTGTAGATAACTGCTTTTCTCTTTTTGTCTTTTTTTCCTCTCTAATACGTTTTTATTGATTTTAGAGAAAGAGGAATGAATAGAGAGAGAAATATCAATTGACTGCCTTCTACATGCCCCTACTGGGGGTCGAGCCCACAACCGGGGCATGTGCCCTGACTGAGAATCAAACTGGCAACATCTTGGTGCATGGGACACTGCTCAACCAACTAAGCCACATTGGCCAGGGCTAATATTCTCTTTGTCTTTAACCTTTTTCATTTTATTATGCTGTATCTTGGTGTGGGCCTCTTTGGGTGCATCCCTTGTTTGGGACTCTGCGCTTCCTAGACTTGTATGTCTATTTCCTTCACCAAGGTAGGGAAGTTTTCCGTCATTATTTTTTCCACACAGGTTTTCAATTGTTTGCTCGCTCTCTTCTTTTTCTGGCACCCCCATGATACAAATGTTGATATACTTGAAGTAGTCTTAGAGACTGCTTATACTATTTTTATTTTTCTTGATTCTGTTTGGCTGTTTTCTGCTTCCTATCTTACAAAATCTCTGATTTGATTCACTGCCTCATCTACTCCAGTGTTGATTCCCTATAATGTATTCTTCATTTTAGTTAGCATAGTCTTCATTTCTGACTGGTTCTTATTTATGTTTTCTGTCTTTGTTTTTATTTCCTATCTCTCTGTTGAAGATCTCACTAAGTTCATCTACTCTTCCCCTAAGTTCATTGAGCATTTTTATAACTAGTGTTTTGAGCTCTGTATCTAGGACAGGGGTGGGCAAACTTTTTGACTCGAGGGCCACAATGGGTTCTTAAACTGGACCGGAGGACCGGAACAAAAGCATGGATGGAGTGTTTGTGTGAACTAATATAAATTCAAAGTAAACATCATTACATAAAAGGGTACGGTCTTTTTTTTTTTTTTAGTTTTATTCATTTCAAATGGGCCGGATCCGGCCCCCGGGCCATAGTTTGCCCACGGCTGATCTAGGAGATTGCTATTCTCCATTTTGTCTAGTTCTTTTTCTGGAGTTTTCTTCTGCTCTTTCATTTGGGACATGTTTCTTTGTCTCCTCATTTTGGCTGCCTCCCTGTATTAGGTAGAGCTGTTACATCTTCTGGACTTGGTAGAATGGCCTTATGCAGTATCCTGTAGGGTCCAGTGGCACAGCTTCCCTGATCACCCAAATTTGGTACTTCAGGTGCACACTCGCCTTGATTGCTGTTGGCCCCTCAATGGGAGGGATTTATCCCCAGGCCAGTTGGCTGTGAGGACTGACTGTGACCACCTGGGGAATCAGCTGTGCAGGGGCTAACCCCATAGAGCAGGACTTACTTCAGTGGGGTTCTGGAGCCCACTGAGTCTGTACCTTGAATGTGTTGCTTGTGGAGGTGGTTGGGTGGTGCTTTGACATGGTCTGAAGCTGTTCACCAGGTATGCTGGCTCTGGGCCCTCATGGGAGATTCAGGCCAAGGTCAGCCACCATCTGTGTCCTGCTTGGGGCCACCCAGCATAAGCTACAAAGCAATCTGCAGATGGCTGCTATTTGTGCTGGGCTTGGAAGTGCCCAGGAGAGACCAAGCTGTGAACCAAGGCTGTCTGCCACTAGTGCCAGGCCTGAGGCCACTTAGCAAGAGCTACGTGGCACACTAAGGCCAGATGCTGCTTGTTTTAGAGATTTTTAGGAAGTTCAAAGCATGAGTCAAGACAGGCCTTTTGTATGGAAAGCCACTGAAACAACTTAGTTGGGCCTGCAAGTTAGATGCAGTGGCGTCTCAGGGAATCAGCAGGGTGAGGCTAACAGAATTAGCCAGGTTGATGGAGACTCAGTTATGACATCTGCGTACTGGCTCTGTGGAGGGGAGAGGGCCTGAAAAAGGAACAATGGCCTGTGCTAGTACTTCTGTCTGGGAGAAAGCCACTCCTCCAGCTCTCACCCTGATGCCAGACAACTCAATTTCTCCCTGTATGTCCCTGATTTCCCAGTGCTGGAACACAGAGCAAGTGAGACCAATTAAGTCCTCACTTGGGCCTTTTAAGAGAAACACCTGAGACTCCAGCAGCCCTCTGTCTCACTAAACCACAACCCAAGCTGGTTTTCACAACCAGAAATTACAGGGACTTCTCTTGCTGGCATTGGAACCCTGGCCAGGGGGTCTGGTATAGGGCTGGGACTCCTCACTCTTCAGGGAGCACCTCTGCATCCAAGATATCTCTCCTGATTTTTATTCGCCACTCGTGGGTGTGGGACCATCCATTCCACATCTCTGACCCTCCTACCAGTCTCGATGTGGTTTCTTCTTTATATCCTTAGTTGTAGGACTTCATTTCAGCTGGATTTCAGATGATTCTGAATGATGGTTGTTCTGTAGTTTAGTCGTAAATTTAATGTGGTTGTGGGAGGATTTGAGTACAGCATTTACCTACTCCACCATCTTGACCAGTTGAGCCATATACTTCTTAAACTTGAATTATTTTAACATAAATACTATCCATGTGTACAGTGGCTATAGTGTTTTTGTATCTTATTTTATATTTGAATAAAAAATTAATAAATTGATTAGTGTTTATCGCATGTAGCTAAAGCATAAGTTAGAAGAATCCTAATAGACATTCCATAACCTGTGTATCTTTTGAAGACCCTAAGTGAGGCATCTGGGCTCTAGAGTTCCACTGGAGTTGTCAGTGCCTTGGAGAGGGTATCCTGGAGAGATACCATTATCCCAACTATCATTCTTAAGCATTCCTTTCCCACCCTTGCTGCACTGTAAGCTCCAAACCCCAGAATGGTGTACAACTGAATTGTAGCAAGGTTCCACGTAGGACCAAAGTTAATTTCCTGTGGCTTTTTTCTAAATCTCCCCAAGTTTTTATCCACACATCTGCGATTTATAAAATCCTTGAAAATTTTGCAACTAGCTTATTTGTATTCTAATAGATGTACGTGTGTGTGTGTCCCCAGACCCATGACAACATTTAATAAAAAAGTAAATTAATAGATTTGAAAAGAATGGCTATTTAATTTGAACTTTTCTTTTTTTATAGATTTTGAAGGTATGACTTTCCTTGAAACTGAGCAAGGAAAACCATTTGTGTCAGTATTCAGACATTTAAGGTTACAGTATATTATCAGTGATTTGGCCTCTGCACGAATTATTGAACAAGATTCTCTAATACCATCAGGTAAGAGTATATAATGAAATTATGATTTTAAGTAATATCTTTCTGATTATAATAGTAATATATATCATAGAAAAGCATACTTAAGAGATATTATTCTTAATCCCAAGAAGGTACACAGTTTTATACCAAAGCTGAATCATACCATGCAGGTAATTTTCTGTGTTCACATCATATATTTTGGGTATTTTTCCATATCATTAAATACTCTCCAGAATATTTAAGTGGCTGTATAGTTTTCTGTAATATGGGTGTACTTTCATTTTATTAACTAGTACACTACTTTGCACCAAACTTTTAAAAATGGTTTTTGTAGTATTCCTTAAAGTTTACAACTGCTTTCTTCTATTAATACTGCATAAATTTGCTTATTTTCTTTTTTCCTTATTCTAGTCTTAAAGCTCATATCAAAGCAAATGTAAAGCTCATATCTTTGCTAATTATTTAAATTTAAGACAATTACTAATTTAATATTCTCAGTTAAATCTCTAGTGCTTGTATAAGATTCAGTTTAGTACTATATATGCATATAAGAAGTATAGAATAGCCGCAACCGGTTTGGCTCAGTGGATGGAGCGTTGGCCTGTGGACTGAAGGGTCCCAGGTTCGATTCCAGTCAAGGGCATGTACCTTGGTTGCGGGCACATCCCTAATAGGAGGTGTGCAGGAGGCAGCTGATAGATGTTTCTCTCTCATCGATGTTTCTAACTCTCTATCTCTCTCCCTTCCTCACTGTAAAATCAATAAAATATATTTTTTTAAAAAAGAAGTATAGAATAGACTTTCTATTTGAAGATTTATTTGTAAGTTTGCAAACATTAGTAATAGATTTGTCTGAAAAATTGTAATTATCTGATACCTCAGTTTTTAATATATCTGTGTTTATAGATTTAAATTGTTCTTGTAATCTGTAAACTTATTTAGAAAGGTATTCAATGGAAAGCAAACCTAGAGTAACACTCTGATACATTTGAAAGTAATGCATTTTTATAAAATCACTCTAATAGGTTTATAGACATTGGTTTTCTATTAATTTCATGTGAATCATTTTTAGTGAATACTTCATCTTACAGTTATAAATGGATGAATAGGTTTTCCTATATCCCAATAAAAATTACAGTTTCAAAAGCAGAATGTAAATTCAAATGATATCCTATGCTGTTTTTAAGGGGTGAAAAAGTGGCACATAACTCAAATTAGATAGATTAGTGTGTGTTCTCAATAGCAGTAAATCCTACATTTGAAATAAATTAAAATAATTTTTATTACTTAGCTAAAATTCATTGATTATTTTTCAGAAATAGTGCCAAACACATGTTAATATTATTTAAATATTATGCATTCTGAAGAGTTTTACTACATCTATTTTGACAATCCTTAGGTAAAAATTTTAAGAAATATGTTTAATTCCAAGTTAAGTCAGGATTTTGTATAGAAACAGCCTATTTTAAGATTCAACTATGTCAATCACAGTTGAACTCCATTATTTCAAGAAATTAGATCTATTTTAGGTCAGATTATTAAATCTGTTTTATTCCATACTCTCCTTGTCTTACTTCCCTCTCCCTTGATACTACCTCTGACCTATCTTGTTATTCCTCCCAAAACTTTCTGTTATGTACTCTGGAACTAGGGTCTATAAACTCCCATATCTTCCATCTCTTCCTTCTATGTATTTAGCTCTCCCAGAGGATACTATTTTTCCTCTGTAGAGGGTAAAATGCCTATTAAGACATCCTGCCCCAGTATAGGGGTAGGAGGCCAGAAAGGCCTAGCCCCTCAATGTCCTTTCCAAATATTATTGCATATCATCCAACTAACCCTCTATCCTTTCTCTCTTCTCTTCACATTCATGTAAGACTTGGACGTTTGATTTACTGTCTACCTCCCCACTCCTGTATAGTCACATAATGGTCATTCCATTTAATACCCTAGCTTCCTAGTAATTTGACCTCAATTCCAGTAACATTTATGTTTGCTGAACATTAGCACTCACCACCTATGGAAACACCATGAACCTTATAACCCAGAATTTCTTAGCATGAGAACTCTGGTAGTCTTCAGGCTACATATAACCTTCTATTATGTTCATAGCCTCATTCCCTTTACATTGTTATTTTATTTCCAATCCATTTTAAGCCTTTCATTGTCTACCAGTCTTTCAAACTTCTCCTATTATTTTTGGCCCTTCAATTTCATGTTAGATATCTGAGCCACTCTCTCTCCCTATTGTCTTCAACTCGTCCTATATTTGACAAATCTTAAAACTAAATTAAACCTATATCCTCTAGTCTGTGCTGAGTATTGCACAGAGCATTCTACAGCTTTTTATTTATTTTTTAATTAAATCTTGTTTGGCTAAGCTGTTGGAGGTGAACCTGCAAACTCAAGGGTCCCTGCATCAATTTCGGTCAAG